GAGAGGAAGTGATGGAGTGGGGTAAGAAAAATATTTTACATTTTATTTTATAAAATAAATATTGTTTTTTTGGATAATAATTTTTTGAATTTTTAATTTGAGCTAATACTAATAATTCATTTAATTTTTGTCAAGGTTGAATATTTTGTCCATTTGGAGTGTGATGTGACAATTTTTTAAAATAAAAGAGAGAGTATATTACATACCATGAAAAGAGAGAAGTGTGTTTCTCAAACTAAAAAGTGATAGTTTAGGTATGAAACTCGCTCTTTCAATCGTTTAGATATGAAACCCAAAAAAAATAATATAGTTTTAGATGTGTTTTTAAAACTTTATGTAAATTTTTTAATTGAAAGCTTATATAGACATTTTAAGCTCATTTCAACCATTCCGTTTGCCCATGTGCCAATCCTTATTTCAGAGGGAATAAATATGTTGTAGAAGATGAGAAGGTGAGAGATGGAAGTACAGAATACAGCAGCTCCAAACCTTCAAGTGGATTTTGGTGAAAATTTGCAGGAGAAAACCGAGGTTGCATCTCAAAACCCGCAACTCACCGTTCAATCCATAAACCCTTAACCTTGTTTTTCACATACATAGTGTAGGGTGAGGCAAGTCTTGTTCTATTTTTCTAATCAGCCAAAACCCTAATATTGATTGTTTTTTTAATCCAGATTTGATTTAGAGGGTTTATGATGTTATTTATTTTTGTCTCCAACCTGTATTGTTGATTTTGTTTTCTGGATGTTATGTCAATCTAGGTTTCTCAAGATTGATTACTCATGGAAAATGGTGTGGGGGAGAGAAAGGGTGCACAAGATGGAATTGTAAAGGAGAAGGAAGCAGTGGGGTTAGTTGAAGTGAAAGAATCACAAGGGGATCAAGTATTTGAGGAGGCAATAGAGCCTGAGACTCCTGGGATTGGAGTTGTAAGTGAGGGTGGAAATGCTGTATTTTTTGGGAATGTGAACTTGGATTCGAGGGATGAAGTTGATAACTTTGAGGAAGCGGTTGAAGCCTCCCACGACATACAACAAAATGATGATGGGTCTCATGAAGCTAAGGGAGATGAAGAGCCTTCAGTTGCAAAGTCTGAGAATGGAAGTTCAGATCATATGAATTTGGGTAACACTCGAAGTCATGATGATGCACAGGAAACAATTAAGGATCGGCAGGATAGAGATGTGCATAAAATTTTGGGTACTCGGGATGCTAATGACGCAAAAGGAGGTAATGATTATGTTTAGAAGCAGGTTCATTCATACAGAGATTCTTTACTCGGGGATGAAGTGAATGCTGAAGTGATTGGAACATCTAATATTCAGCCCACTGGGCATCAAAACTTTGTTAATGTTCACAAGGATGTTTCAGTTAGTTCTGGCTCTATACTGAAAGATGAAAGGGATATTCAACTGGAGGAAGTGCAGTCACATCATTTCAAACTTTTAAAATCTGATGTTAAGGATAAAGAACAGAAAGATATTGCCCTTAATGATAATTCAACAAATGGTCACCTCGGAGAAAGCTTGAACTCAAGTGATGAGAAAGAAAAATCAGTAATTAGTACAGAACCCTTTAATGGTAGTAATAAGAATGAAGAGCAGATGGATTGTCCAATTGATACTGCTGCTCCTATTGCCCAAACAGGAAGGCCCTGCACAAATGTTGAAGTGAAAGAAGAAGAATTGACTGGTTCAGTGCTGATAAGTCAGGAGTGCCTGGACGAGCAGGACATTGTGAGTGATGATGTTACGACTCATCAAGGACTAAACGAAACAGAGTCACCTGCTGTGGAACTTGTAAATTTGAATGACAAGGTTCAGGAGAACACTAAGGAGCGGAAGGATGTTCTGAACTGTGATGCTACTGATCTTCAAGATCTGAAAGGAGAAGAGTCACCTGCTGTGGCTTTAGTGAAGTCAAATGACAAGGTTCAGGAGTACGCAGAGGAGCAGAAGGATGCTACTGATCATCAAGTATTAGCAGGAAAAGACTCACCTGCTGTGGGACTAGGGAATTTGAATGACAAGGTTCAGCTATTCATGGAGCAGCAAAAGGATGATCTGAGTAGTGATGCTACTGATGATCAAATCCTCAATGATAAAGAGTCACCTGCTGTGGGGCTAGCAATTTCAAATGACAAGGTTGATGATCAGAAAGATGCTTCTGTATTTTGCACTTCAGCTTCTGAAAACCATACTGAAAATTCATCAAGAGAGACGGTGACTGCAGAGGATGAGAAATGGAAATCATCAGAAGGTTCAGTATCCAACAACAATGGAAAAGTTGGTGTTAGCACAGCTGAGTTTGTGTCAGTAAGTTCCAAGGCTTCTCAACTTCCACTAGTTGATGCAATTATTGGAGTCAACAAAGCTGTAGCGCAGGAGTCAGAAAAGCCTTCTATAAAAGAACTAAAGCAAAATGTTACTGGGGTGAGAAAACCAGAAGCTGGATCTGCAAGAAATCTCTCATCATCCTCTGGTTCATCCGTCACTCGTACACCACCACCTGCTCGACCGGCTGGCCTTGGTCGTGCTGCCCCACTATTGGAACCTTCTCCCCGAGTGGTTCAGCAGCCTCGAGTGAATGGATCCGCGTCTTCAGTACAAAACCAACTTGTTGAAGAACCCACAAATGGAGAATCTGAGGAATATGATGAGACACGTGAGGAACTCCAGATGATAAGAGTTAAGTTTTTGCGTCTTGCTCATAGGCTTGGGCAGAATCCACATAATGTAGTAGTTGCCCAGGTCCTTTATAGATTAGGGTTGGCTGAACAGCTGAGGGGAAGAAATGGAAGTCGTGTTGCTGCTTTTAGCTTTGATCGTGCAAGTGCCATGGCCGAGCAACTTGAGGCAGCTGGACAAGAAGCCTTGGACTTCTCGTGCACAATTATGGTTCTTGGAAAAACAGGTGTTGGTAAAAGTGCGACCATAAATTCTATATTTGGTGAAGCTAAATTTGGTACTGATGCATTTCAGATAGGAACAAAGAAGGTTCAGGATGTTATTGGGACTGTGCAGGGAATTAAGGTTCGGGTAATTGACACTCCTGGGCTTCTGCCTTCCTGGGCAGACCAGCGACGGAATGAGAAAATCCTTCATTCTGTTAAAAGATTTATTAAGAAAATGTCACCAGATATTGTACTGTATCTCGATAGGTTGGATATGCAAAGTAGAGATTATGGTGACATGCCATTGTTGCGGACAATTACTGAAGTTTTTGGCCCATCAATATGGTTCAATGCAATAGTTGTTCTTACACATGCTGCATCTGCTCCTCCTGAAGGCCCCAATGGTACTACAACAAGTTATGACATGTTTGTAACTCAGCGGTCTCATGTTGTTCAGCAAGCAATACGGCAGGCAGCCGGAGATATGCGCCTTATGAATCCTGTTTCTCTGGTCGAGAATCACTCAGCATGCAGGACAAACAGGGTTGGGCTGAGAGTGTTACCTAATGGTCAAGTTTGGAAGCCTCACTTGTTGCTTCTGTCATTTGCATCCAAAATTTTGGCTGAGGCAAACACATTGCTGAAGTTACAAGACAGTCCACCAGGTCAGACTTATGCCACTCGATCAAGATCACCTCCTTTACCTTTCCTGCTTTCATCCCTTCTCCAGTCAAGACCACAGGTTAAGCTACCAGCAGACCAATTTAGTGATGACAATGAGACCTTAGATGATGATCTGGATGAATCTTCGGATTCTGAAGATGAATCAGAATATGATCAACTGCCAGCTTTCAAACGGTTGACCAAAGCCCAGCTAGCAAAGTTGACCCAAGAGCAAAAGAAGGCATACAATGATGAATTAGAATACAGGGAAAAGCTTTTTATGAAAAAGCAATTGAAGGAGGAGAGAAAGAGACGAAGAATGATGAAGAAAATGCAGGCTGCAGCTAAGGATTTGCCTATCAATACCAACGAAACAGTAGAAGAGGAGACAGGCAGTGCAGCGTCTGTTCCAGTACCAATGCCAGATTTGGCCTTACCTGCTTCTTTTGATTCTGATAACCCAACTCATAGATACCGTTATCTTGATTCTTCAAATCAGTGGCTTGTGAGGCCTGTTCTAGAGCCTAATGGTTGGGACCACGATGTTGGTTATGAGGGCATTAATGTAGAAAGGTTGTTTGTTATCAAAGACAAGATACCTCTGTCTTTCTCCAGTCAGCTTTCTAAGGACAAAAAGGACGCCAATCTTCAAATGGAAATCGCAAGTTCGGTGAAGCATGGGAATGGGAAAGTAACTTCTTTAGGTTTTGATATGCAGTCGGTTGGTAAAGACCTTGCTTACACTCTACGCAGTGAGACTAGATTCAGCAATTACAGAAAAAATAAGGCAACAGCTGGTCTCTCAGTAACTCTCTTAGGTGATGTTATGACAGGTGGAGTGAAAGTTGAGGACAAATTGATTGTTAACAAACGAGGACTGCTGGTCATATCTGGGGGTGCTATGTTTGGTCGTGGTGATGTTGCTTATGGGGGTAGCTTGGAAGCAACATTAAGAGACAAAGATCATCCTCTTGGTCGTTTCCTATCAACGTTGGGGCTCTCGGTCATGGACTGGCATGGAGATCTTGCTATTGGATGCAATTCACAAACCCAAATACCTGTTGGACGATACACAAACTTGATTGGACGTGTCAACATTAACAATAAAGGGTCTGGGCAAGTCAGTATTCTCCTGAACAGCTCAGAACAACTTCAGATTGCTTTGATTAGCTTGCTTCCTCTGGTCAGAAAACTGATTAGCTACACTCAATCAGTGCAATTTGGATAATCATGAAAGCGAAGCCATATATGATAGTAAGCCATACGGTAATTGAAAAATTACTCATATAGTGACAATCATTTCATCAGCATTGCTAGACGTGAGTATATTTTATTGTTTTTCTTTGGCTTTTTACTTAGTTGTGGCTTTGTTTTAAGATATTTTGGAGCTTTTTGATAAGAAAAAGCTGCTCTTGTCTGATTGTTCACAAAAGTATTTGCTTTCCTTGACATATGAGTTCTTTTTCCTTTTAGTGGCTTTATCTTTATGTAGTCAGCCTAGAATATGCTGCAACTGTTTACACCTGGCATACATAGATTGGACATTTAAACTTTCTACTTGCATTATTTTATTTTTTTGAAATTGGTAATGTTGTATTCCTCAACATTAAGGATATGCCGGAGACCTTCAAAAGAGGAACAAAAGAAGAGAATAAGGGAGAAATTACTCACTACAAGCTCTAATTCCTCTATATCTGTTTCTTTACACCAAAAAAGAAGGCGAAATAGTCTGATAGACCCTTATACTTGTATGAATTTGTATTTTGGACCATTTTACTTGATTATTTGTCAATTGAACCTTTAAACTCAATGAAACTAAGCATTTTAAACCCCTTTCGATGTGTGTGAACTTCAAACACTTGACAAAAATGACATATCATCATCCACCTCACGTTTTAATGACACATCACTTATTATTTTTTATTTTTAAAAAAAAACTGTTTTTTCTTTCTTTTTCACTTCATTCCTCCTTCATCCTTTCACATCTCTCCTTTTTTTTTTACATTAGAGATATCACCACAACCTTTCATTCTCACTAGTATCATTACATTCCTAAATAACTAACAATTATCATTTGGTTTTTTTTCTGAAAATTTCTTTCATTCACAACTTTTAATGGTATTTCTTTTACCAACATTCACATCTACCACTTGAACCACCATAAATCTCTTTTCCCCATTGATGTTAACAAATAGCCATTAAAATACATCAATATACTCTAATATTTGTACACAATTTTACATTACACATTTCACCTAATTTCACAAACGCATTCAATAATCATTTTTCATCTTTCAAGACTATTGAATCTTTATCACTTTATGAGTTATAAATTACCTTGAAAATAAAAGGAAAATATAGATCTACAACAAAAATACAATTTCGTTTCTATTCCCGGAAGGAAGAAAGTGTGAAAAAAAGAAGAAGAGAGAAACAAGAAATTGGAAAGGACCGGAAAGGGGAGAAAGAAGAGAAATTGGGGTTTGAGAGTAGAAAAAAAATGGGGATGGGTGGGGTGGGAAAAGAAGAAAGAATTGAATTTTTTTCTTCTTATTTTTGATCTTTTTATTCTAACTTTAAAAAGAAAAAAAAAATTAGTCTAAAATTTGATCTTTCACGCTCTTTCTATGCGTGACATCACGTATTTGTGTCAACTCAATAATTAAGTTGTCACATAAGCTTGGTCAACGATCAGAAGGGCTTAAAACATAGAGTTTCATTGAGTTTAAGGGTTCAGTCGACAAATAGTCAAGTAGAAGGGTCCAGAATACAAACGCATACAAGTAGAAGGGTCCATCAGATCATTTCGCCAAAAAAGAAGAATACAATACAATTTCGTTTAACTTTGGGAATGAAATTGGACTTATCTTCGAAACATCTATTGTTTTCGTATCTCCACACAGTTTACCAGATGCAATGTGGAGTGATTTTCCACCATATCTTCTAGCTCTCATTTCCATCGCTTCTAATCTAGCAGCTCAAAAGATGTGTAGTGTGGTAAGGCATGGTCCATTTTGTGTTTGTAAGAGTAGGAAATAAATTCCATAACTGAGCAGTGAATTTACAATGTAAGAAAATATGACTATCTGTCTTATCTGTTTCCCCACAAGGTTGACATCTATAATTTTCCTCTTTTTCTTCAAAACCTCGTGTCGGCGCTATTCTTTGTTTCCCAACACATATAGTTTACCATTTGCATCTGTCACCCTCTATTCTTGAACTTTGTGAAAAATCATAGGCACCCAAAAATATTCTTCTGTCCAATAATAGTTTTCCACTATATTATTTTGGAATGTCCAACAATATTTGTCCACTTTATAAAATAAATGAATAATTTTATACTTAATTTCTAATTTGTCCTTATCATTAGTTATAGTCCTTTCTCGATTATATTTTTCAAGACATTGTATATATTATATTCGAAGGGTGATATAGTAAAATTACTCTTCTATCTGTAGTTTCTTAAAAAGTATACAAAGTCAATAGTGGACAAGTATTGTTGGACAGAGGGAATGCACTGCGAAGGAACAAATTACTTGAACAAAATTGACTTAGGAAGAAGAAATATTTGTTGCTTCTATACAAAGATATTGTTACAATGTCCCTAGGTTGAGGGAATATCCTATTTCTCCTTATAGTCTTACTAGTAATTGAACATGTGTGATGCACGTGTGTTTATTAATACATAACTTTTTAAAATGGTTAGATAATATTAAAACTACAGTATAATCAGTAAAAATGGATTCCAAGGGAAAAATTATCCTGAAAAGTGATGAACAATAGCTTATTCAAATGTTTTGATTATTGAACAATAGCTAATTTTTGCATTATTAGGGAACATGCAGTCAATTATGATATATTTTCCTCCCTATAAGTTGTTTTACTTATATAACATTCTTTTTGTTATCTATCCTCGTACAGTTGTAAGTTTTTCAAAAAGAATTTATAGTAACATATTCCTTCCATTCCATATTAAGTGAACTTGTAAGACAATGTATATTTATGAAGAAGAAAAAATTAGGACTTAGATTGAATATCACTTTTCAGTATTACCTTTTTGGAAAAGGGTCAAAATTGCCCTTGAACTATGTGAAATAAATCACTTATACCCTTCGTTACATTTTGGGATAAAAAATGCCTCTGCTGTTATCCTAAGAGACCACAAATACCCTCAAGAGTTAACACCCCAAATTTTTATTGACGTGGCAAGCCACGTGGGACTAATGCTTCCACCTAGCGTTGCCAACTAGGATTCACTACAAAAGAACTAGACCTTTAGCGGCAACAACAGTCGCCACAAAAGCCCAGAAAATCGTCACTAAAAGTTTTAACATTAAATTCTAATTTTGTGTTTTTTTTTCATTGTTTTTAAAAAACAAAAAATGATATCAATTAAGTAGGAGTTTGAAGAAACTGTATGTTTTATTTTTATGTCATATGTAAATGTATAAAATGTACAATGATATATTATATAGTAGAAAATTTGAATCGAGAAGTAATTTTGATTATTTTTCGTAATAATATTGGATGTTTTTAATACGTAGCCACTAAAGGTCAAGTTCTTTTGTAGTGAATCTTAGTTGGCAAAGCTTAGGTGGGGGGATTAGTCCCACGTGGCTTGCCACGTCACTAAAATTTTTGGGTGTTAACTCTTGAGGGTATTTGTGGTCTCCTGAAATAACGGCGGGGGTATTTTTGATCCCAAAATGTAATGGAGGGTATAAGTGATCTATTTCGCTTAGTTCAGGGGCAATTTTGACCCTTTTCCGTTACCTTTTTAGTTATTCTCAAATTATTCTTGAAAATATAAATAATTCAAAATAAAATCATAAATATGAAATATTAACTCTCGAAATTATCACTTAGCAAATGTAAATGAGGAGCAAAAGATGTAGCAAATGAAAGAAATAAACAGTTAAGAGTAAATATTTCAAATTAGGTAAATTTAGAGAAAATCAAGGGAGAGAATATTTCTAATTAGGTAAAGTTGTTGAATATCCTTATTACTTGCATTACAAAAGATTATGAGACCCAGAATAGGTGATTCTCTTCCTTCTTCCTAAAACTTCAAATTTGACTCCAAACTCTTTTCCTTGTCCAAATTGTGATTGTTTTATTTTTAGTAGAAATGTCTCTCATACGTCATTATTTGGCCTTCTCTTTCAAAATTAATTATTGTTATGAACTACTGTGCCTGTGAATTAAAGAAAGGAGGAGCTGAAAACCATTTGACTGTAAGGAGAGGACTTCCAGGGCTCGATCTACGGCTGCGTCCCGTGGTTTGGTAGAATAGACACTTCCAAGGATAGTCTACAAACACAAACCCAATCTCGTTTTCTTAGGGTTATGGTGGCACTATGTTTAAATTGACATTTTTTCAATTAACAAATTTGAACACCTATAGTTTTATTTGTTATTTGGCATACCTTTCTCACACTGTATTTATTTATTTTTTCCATAATTTTGTATCCTTTCTTAAATCGTATTCATTAAAATATGTATACTATTTGTATTTGTATCCATTTTAATTTTCATGTTGTATTTTGTATAATGAAACTTGTATTTCTTTATTAGTTTGTATTCATTCTAATAGGTATGCCAAATGAATCTGTGTAGTTATTTAAGAAACATATTTGTATTTATGTATTTTTCACTGTATATTTATTTTTTTCTTCAGAATATTTTTTTCTTTTCTAAGTCATATTCATCCAATGTGTATATTAGTTGTATTTGTATTCATTATAGTTTTTATATTATATTTTGTATAATGATATATAAAATACAAAAACAATATGATGGAAAAGTGAGAATGAAATATAAAACTAGACAGGAATAAGTGAATATTTTGTTTTTGTATGACAAAGAAAATCCACAGCCGCTATCCTTTAGGCGCACTGGGTAAAAACCCCGCTCCTATGCAATAGCTCGCAAATCACATAGGAGAGGTAACCCACACTAGGCAAGCCCGGTGCGGCGAGCTCGACCCAGAAGGCAGACCCCTTGCTTTCGCTTGCAAGGGGTTTTGAACTTGAGACCTCTAACATGTTAGTCCCAAGCCCAAACCACTGGGTCACCCCGAAGGAAGGAATAAGTGAATATTTGTTGCAATCATTTTAAAATAAAATACATAAGTAGTTGGCATACCTTTGGAATTAATATAAATTAGAAACAAATACAAGATTCATAAATCACGCGACATGAAATTTTGAATGAATAGAAATATTAATAGAATACATACTGGTTTGAATACGAATTGAGAAAGGATACAAAATTTTTGAAGAAAAAGAACTATAAAAACAAACAAATTAATAGAAAGTTGTTCTTCCTATAAATAAATACATAACTAGTTGGCATACTTTTGGGATGAATACAAATTAGAAACAAATACAAGATTCATAAACTATGCAACATGAAATTTTAAATGAATACAAATATTAATAGCATACAAACTGGTTTGAATACAAATTGAGAAAGGATACAAAATTCTGAACAAACTATATAATACAAAACAAATTAATAGGAAATTGTTCTTCCTCAACTTGGTCTTCATCAAG